TAACACGAAAAAAATTTTGAATTCCTTATTAAAAATATTTCGATTATTTTATGTTTTAATGTAGAAATTTCAAGTAAAATCGTTTAAAAAATATATGCAAAGGAAAATATCAATGAAAATTTGCTCGAGAGAGAAGGAACACTTTAATTTTATTATTTTCATCAAATTCTATATTATATTTGTTATTTGGTTATATATCCTAATTATCAATATTTAACATTATATTTTGATAGTTACTAAACAAAACAAATTATAAAAAATAGTGTTAGAAAATATTGTAGGAATGTAATATTCATACCGCATTAAATAATACTGAAATTTAGCAGAGTCAATCGATTAGTCATGTTGGTAAATGAAAAGTTTTCGGCGTATCAGCATTATATGTTTTCATAACGTCTCACGCGTTACTCAGCTGACTCGGATCCTCGCATCTATATATAAAAATGCGTCAACAATATAAAAACGGACTAAATCATTATATGCGGTTGAAAGCTATTGTTTCAGACGACTAACGGTACATACCGGGGAACATATAAATTTGTAAAACCGTTATCCAGAAGCGATCGTCCTTGTTCATTCTGAGTGATACCACTTAAATAATTAGAGAGAAGCTGTTGTTTTGTTCTGCCTGATCTTACAATATTTTTAAGTATTTCGTATTTATTGGAAAGTGAAATTGCATTAACGTATGTCGTTGCGAGTTGGATTTATCGAGAATACAAAACGTCCACTGCCTGCATTGATCAATGTGACGTATAATATATACAAATCAGTTGTTATTATGCACCAGTAATAATATTATAATAATATTAAAATGAAATATTCCAATAAGAATAATATTATCGTAATATTAACGTAATAACGTTCGCGCAATCCGATTAATTTCTCCACTTACTGTTAATCCATATTCATTATTTCATATCTTCTCTCTCGTATTGCTACTGTTGCTGCATAATTATTGGGCATTAATAAACGAGCGAAATGTCAGCGTTGCCTTATTTTACAAACTGCCCAACGAGAAACGTTCGGTTTTTCGCTGGTGTCAACGAGGTCGCGCGTGTCAGACTTCGACGACTCTCTCTCTCTCTCTCTCTCTCTCTCTCTCTCTCTCTCTCTCTCTCTCTGTCTCTTCGTTACCAGCTTTCCTTCTGCTCATTAGCGCGGGCGTGCATCGCGCGAAGGTTCTTGAACCGTGGGCTAATTGTTGTGGGAACCACCGGTGCTCGGCTGTATTTCCGGGTGGTAAGAGACGGCCGGTGGTTGTGCAGTTTCACGCGACACCATTTATTCGCGCTTCGTTACCAAAGGAGATATTAATCCTGTATGCCGCACGGCACGTCGGCTGAACATCACGGGCGCAGGTCGCCGTGGTCGTTTTACGGCGTGGCGTGGGATCGTTTCCTCCGTGCGATCGGTATCTCCGGCAAATGATCGCGCGTTTATCTCGCGTAGGATATCGCTCGGCCGAGCAGTCGCACTCGACAGTGCAACTCGGAAACTGCAGCCGCCGAATGGAATCGCCGGATCGAAATTGCCTCGCCGCGATACGCGACTCCAGATCTAAATCGCGAGTTGAGCGCCGTTTTTACACAATGTCGCTCGTACGATCGTGACCCAGAGAGAGAACCGAACGGGAAATCGTGGACTGGCCATCACCGATAAACCAAACGTCGGACTGCTAAGACATGCACGCCGAATGAACGCCCCGCTGTATTGCATTTCGTGCAAACGCGACGTCTCAATTTTAAGCTGGACCAATCGCCGTGGATATTGGATCCGCGCCAATTTCCGACGAGCGCGATTTATCGGACTACTACTCACGAGCGATCACTTGCACTTCGCGCAGTGCAAAGAGCTGTATTGTGACTGAAGCACTTTGCATCATTTGCACAGCTAATTCGGTGCGAAGGTAGCACACAGACGATACAGAGTGCCGCTTAATGATCATCGCGGCGCCACGGCTGGCGCGAGTAGAACGGCTGAAGTGACGCGCCAGGAAAAATCGTTGCATATTAAACATATGGAAAAGAGCAAAATAGAAAAGAAAAAGTTCTAAAGAAGAAATATATCGACAGTTATTGGAAGTTGACGTATCGACTATGATAGAAACCACATTGAGAGAAGAAAATGGTTGACTTAATTAAGTTTGTAAAATTACTTTTGGCTCCAATCATATTTTCTAGTTTTTTTAACACGAAGATGATAGTAGTTGATATGTATACAAGCTTTGTCATCAAGCTATGTTATTACCAACATTATGATAGAATTTCATAAAAAAAAGAAAAACAATTTTCTTCGCCACAATTTATAGTAATCATTTCTCTCTGTGATTATAGTTACAGATATCAAACATTTTGTTCTCAGTGCGAGCTAATTTATATCGTACGAAAGACGAAGCTAGACAGCCTCGATTCAGGATGTTCCATCGGTATTTGCCGCGCGATCGACGATCGCCAATCGTCGATTCTCGAGGCGATTCCCGAACTGCATTCCTCGCGCGTTTGCAGCCGTGCAATCGCGAGGTATCGCGGCTATAAATATTCGCGATTCGCGGTTCTAATCTCGACGTATTGCGAGAAAGCGCGAGCGAGAAAGGAGTAAGATACCAGTCGCGTGTGTACCCCTTGAAAGGGAATAAAAGGCATAGAGAGAGAGAAAGAGAGAGAGAGAGAGAAGAGAAGAGAAGAAAAGATGTACCCACGCTGAATGGTGTGCGCCACACGGAGTGGCCGGGCTGGTTGGCGCCACATCGGCCGATGTATATCGAAACGAACGCGTAATAAATGCGATACTGTACACGGCGATACGGCGCACGCATTACGCCCGCAACACTCACTCGCTCGCTCACGATGCAACGATGAATTATATCCTCCTCGGGTAATCGCACAATGAGCCGGTCGCGCCACTGCGAAAATCGACGAGAGACTCGACGAGACGTGATGGCGATCGCCGCCAGAATGGAAACGGCAATTATTCAGCCCGCATCTCCGCGATCGGCCACTTTTGCGATCTGCAAGCCACCTCCGGCGGTATCGACATTTATTGCCTCGTTGCACGAAATACCGGCGAAGACCGATAGCGGTGCGTGTGCCGTATCGAGCATCTCGAAGAACTTATCCCGACTTGTTGACGTCCAAGAAAGCGGGGATGCAGTTCAACTGTAAACATTCATTAGCGCGCGTATACATATTTGTGATAAGCTTTCGAAATGAGGAAAAAAAGTGGCGTGCTTTCGAGAATAAATTCGACGCCGGAGGATACGCCCCAGGTGAAAACACGTTCGCGTTCGTGCGCCTTTTTGTCCCTCGGCGGCTAAACACTTTCCTTTTATTGTAGTCTGCGCGACACGAAACGCGCCGGCACGTTATTTCGGATGCTGTGTCGGCCAGAACCGTTGCCAGGAAAATAGTTACCTACGACTCACGTGGGAGAATCGATCGTTAACTCGTTGCGAGCGCAGAGGTACATATGTACTTAGGTAGGAACTAACTACGTGCAGCCAGCCACACGAAGCAACGAGCGCGCGCGCGCGTTCCCATATTTTCCTACATCTCGTTTATTGAGATTGCTTTCCCAGAAGCGGGCTAAAGTTAGGAACAAATCGTCATCATGAACGTTCAATTTCAGCTTATCATAGACCGGCGAAGCAATCGCCAATGACGACGACGCCGGTAGGCACCGCAATTTCCGAGAAAGAGCGCTCCGAAACGCGCACTCGATTATTGCACGCGCGACGATAGTTTTAATATAGCGGGAGACGATCTCTGATGTCCGTAATATGTCCGCGATGGTCATCGATGATCGGATTCATCGGTGTGTCGGATTATTTGAGTTATGTGTGTGTTGTTATTCGCCGCGGGAAAAAAATGTATAATGACCGCGATGGTTTTCTGCCGTTTGCGCAATGACGGACATCAATCGCTTTCCATTAATCGATTGCCGGAAAGTGATCGTCAGTATTCATCGAGCGAGCCGTGAGCGCGCGCTCGTTTGAGACGTCGCGTTTAATCGCGCCTCGTACGACGGCTCGACGACGCGTACGTGTCGTCGCAAATTGTAATTGAGGCTGACGTCATTATTTGCAGACCTCTCGCGCGGTGGTACGGCGGATCTCGGAGCTAATTTTATATCGAACGACGAGTTTTTTATTTTGGTAAGAACTTGGTCGTGCGCCGCCGAACGAAATTTCTTCCTCGTTACGTTCCCACTTGCGCGTTTTTTTCTGAAATTTTAATTATTCCTCAAATTAAAATTGGACATTCGCTTCTAAAATTGCCAAAATTTGTGCATCGGAGAAATAAGATAGATAAAAGACGGTCAGCATTGTATTTGTTAATGTTACCAGTCAATTATTACGATTATTTCTCCAGTAGAAATTATATGCACTCCTTAAATATTTGTTCATATAACACCTTGGCAAATTGAAGCGAGGTATTCACGTGGCGGTCCCCTCTTGTGGATTATATGAGTTCTCAACGGAGTACTATTTATCGTGCGGGAATAGCGATTCAACCCTTTATATGGATCGACATTCATAAGTTCTCTCCTTTGGCCACACACATTCAAACCTTCTATTTATTCAACCTGATTGGCTGCTACGATGCATTTCTACCAACCATTTCATTCATACATATATGACCTATTTTATTCGAAATTAACAAAATACGCGCTTTTTTAATTTCCGACGCTTATAATAAAATTTCATCTTATATATTTTACCGCACAGGAATAACATTTAATTTCTTTGTATTTATTTTACATTTACTGTGTGAAATATTTGAACTTTCAGGAAAATTTGCTTACAAAGAGACACACGAATTTCAAATTCTTTCCAGTTGGAAATTCGATCTCGTTATATCGTTTGATAATTTTGGTAACTCAAACAGATCTTTCCTCTATCGTTCGCGATATACTTGTTTGGGAACCGCACGAGACGCGAAAAAATCGCGAAATATACGTATTCGCGGTCACGTTCCGACAATACGGTGCGCAGATTTTACCTTTCTCCCGTGACCCTTTCTTGATCCTTCCGCTAGTGGACTTTCCGCGCAGCCTCTTCCGCCTTTCCCTGCTGTCTCTTCCCCGTTCGAGATCTCACAGCTCAGTGAGCATAATAATTCCCGATCCGAGTCGCGGACCCGATCGACACGCGAAAACTGCACTCGCGTTTTTCCACGGAGATTCGATCTCGAGAAGCCGGTCACTTTCTCGCGCGCACGAAGAAGGATCTTCGTCGCGAGATAACATCGATCACGAGATCGCGGATAAGGAATCGTAGGATTCTCTCTCTCTCTCTCTCTCTCTCTCTCTCTCTCTCTCTCTCTCTTTCTCTCTCGCTTTCTCTCTTTCTCACGTGTGCCGTTTCGCGAGCTGCACCTACGCACAGGTACGCGTGCACGTCGCGAGCGACCGATCGCGCGCGAGCTTCGAAAAGCAATGCAAGCGCGAACGACACGCCGGGCTCTCGTTCCTTCCTACGTTCTTACTCGCACACGTCGTCGTTCCTGGCTCGTGCTCTCTGCCTGTCCCACTCTTCGGGGCTTTCCCTGTCCGTCTACCTCGTGTGGTCTCTCTTTCGCTCTTTCCCTCTCCACTGGATACACACTCGTTCACCGTCGTGTTCGTTCTCTTTCTGAGCGTTTCTCTTTCCCGATCTCTAGTGCCGGCATGTCTTCGTCTCCCTCGCTCTTTCCCGTCTCTGTTACTCTGCGAACGAGGTACAACCATCTTCCTCCGATGTTATCCGACCTCCCTCCTTCCCTTTGCATTCGCCTGCACCTCCTCCTCCTTCTCTTCTCGGTCACAAATCCTCCGACCTTCCCGCTCCGTCTTTCAGAAGTATTCCCCGTCGCTCCCGATTCGTCCTTGCTTTCCGATCGATGCTGCTCCAGTTTAATTTAATCCGTCAAAATCCATCTTCTATAATTGAAGCGGTCAGCGGAAGAAGTATATACCACGATATGCGGCCTCTTCTCGGAGATTGGCTTGTTGGATCGAACAATATTTCCAGGGCCCTGCGTTCTCTCTTTTAATTAAAACTGAAATATATTGGATTTCATTTAAGGAATGAAAACTTGGAAAGGAATCCACTTGAGAAGCTAGTCTCATCTACGAACCTCCTCAATTTACGTTGCTCAGTTCTTCTTACCTTGAAATATTATTTCTGTTAATTATCGCAGCTCTATATTAGTATACATTTATTAGATAACTTCTAAAAGTCATCGTCGATTTATTTTAACTGCAGAGTTCTTCACACATTCCATGTTTCAATTCTACTTTCAAAATCACAAATCGCTTATAGTAAATCTGTGAAGTCTTGCAAAAACCAATCGTCAAATCTGCAAGTTTCTTATCCTCGCAGTTCTACATCCACGCGTTTCCTCTTGGATTACTTCGCCCCTTTCATAGGATCGTACTCGTAGTGAAGACTTGAGACCCGCTCGAGACGGTATGATTCATGAAGGCCACCTTAACTTCCGAAGTCGCTCTTAAATCATATCCAACTTCATATCCCCGAACGAGCGCTCGGTCGAGCTTTCGACGTCTAAGCTTCGTCTTACTTGCTCATATACTATGCTCAAAGAACGCCATTATGAGAGTAAACACGCCTTCCTATTTCGGAGAAGGGCTCGAAGAACGATCTCAGGTGTGATACCTCGTAGACTATCTCAAAATCCCACCTAAGCTTGCTCTAAGTCTGAACTATGAATATATCATCTATGCGCTCGACGTTTGTTGCTCCGTCTCTCTCCTGTCTATCTACATCTACCTATCTACCTCTCTCCGCCTCCGGCGAGAGCTTTACCTACCGCACTCCACATCCGTTGCCTGGAGTCACGTCTGTCGGCTTCGAGATCTCTTCGCCATCTCCTGCTCGCGCGGCAACAGTCGCCACCTTCGATCGGACGCTTTCCCACCTTGCCTCGCCGCCGTCATTGCGTTTGCTTTCCTTCTTACACTCTTCTCTCATGTTGGATCGTTTCAAGATAATATTCACGTGTAGCTCATCGTCTAATATTTCCTTATCGATATCGAACATCGCCAATCGCGATTAAACGTCTTCCTGAGCATCGATACTTCCTAACGGTTCGTTCGTTATGACATCCACAGTAACGATGCTCAGATAAATAACAAGATTCTATCTATCCTTTTAGTTCGTTCTTATTACTAAAATAAATCTCTCTCTGTTCATCCATCGCGGTCGCTTCTACATCCGTCGTTTCTTCTCCATCACCGACACGCGCTCGCAGCGGTGCTCCGAAGAGCACTTCACCGACACCCACGTGCCGGCACGAACACACGGCTGTTTCGCACGGGCAGATTGAACACTCTTGTATTGCGCCGCACATAATATCGCGTACATCGCCGGAGATTGAGTCCGGATACGACCGTTCAGCGGCCAAGGGGGCAAGATACTAAGCAGCCACTTCCTCTTTTACATCCGCACCGTTTGTAAACAGATCGTTAATGGCGGGCGAAGCGGGCTCCGATTTAGCAGTGATTCCATTTCCGTAGCGGTTAAAAAAAAGAAGCGATTGCCCCGAGCGACAGCACTGACTAATCTCACGAGGTGGACCAAATCTGAATTATCCCGCGCGGAACATTCGGAGCTACACCGGTGATTTAAATTGCGACTCCGTGTAACTCGGTTTGCACACGATAACCTTGACCGTACCAGCATTGCGTAATTATGTCTGCGGAATATAAATATATTCTGAAGTAAGTCGAAATGGCATTCATATTTTAGTCAGCAATGTCCGAGTATTTTAAGTGTCTCTCGTTCACTGAGCATGGTAGATATAAAAAATGCAATTATCTTTATACCTGACGCTACTTTACCTAAAATAGTATCCCAAAGAGTAATAGGAGGCGGTAATGAATTAGGTACATGGAGGGTAATGGAAAATATCAAGAAAGCCGATAAAGAGAATATGGAGACAAACTAGGAACTAATAAATATCATAAGAATCCGATCCAATGGAACGATGCACTTAAGCTCTCTCGCGTTTATATCGCCCTTTTATCACCGAGAAATTCCACGGTTATCTACGCTAACGGAATAGCCTGAGAAGCGTTTACTTCCTATGTGCCGTCTCTTTTTTCTCCTTCTAACCCGATTAACGTGACACGAGATAAAAAATTCATTGACGGTGTATTACAATAAACAATTCGAAAAGCGCGTTACACACTCGCGCGTACAAATCTCTCTTTCACGTGGAGTCATGTCGAATTTAAATCAGACGATATCGTAAAAAATGTAATGACGACGCCACGTCTTTAATTACGGCATATGTGCATGTATTGCGCAATTGGGGATTTGATCGTTAACCAAACGTGACATCGCGCGAGGGAGGACACTCATCGACGGGATGTCCACATGCTAATTATCCTCCCATCACTCACTCATTAGTGGTCTATTACGATTGCAGGTAAGCGCATCTCGGTATCCTGTTGTGGTGAAACTGGGCCACGCCCACGGCGGAACCGGCAAAGCCCGTGCGGAAACAAATCAAGAATTTCTAGATCTCGCCTCGCTGGCAGCTATGGCTAACACCTATTGCACAGCAGAGCCGTATATCGACACCAAGTACGACGTGCACGTGCAGAAAATTGGCAACAACTATAAAGCTTTCATGTGAGTCGCCGAAATCCGCGATAGAACGGATCTAAAGCACGCGAAATAATTGGCATTGCGCACAATGAAAGTCGAGCAGAGTGTTCGGAAGATCTCGTGAAGTCAAGATCGGGTCCGCGAGTCAAGATATCTTGTATTTAAGAGATCTCAAAGCAGCTAGGTTTTGCCAGTAAAGCTTTCGAAATTAGCTCAATAAAAAGTTGATTTAACGTACAAAGTTTAGACGAGTTAAATATATAAATAGATTGGCAAGCCCCGCTCCTCCGGATTACTAATTCACTACAAATGAATGATAATGGATTAAATATTAGATAAAGAGACCTTGCGACAGAGTTCTATATCTTATCCCGACGTTCATATTTCACGCTATATTACTACCCGCGGCTTAGATACGTTGCTTTACATAATAGACGAGCTGAAATTGTAGCGACGCTCGCTGCGTTTGCCCGCAGGCGAAAAAGCATAAGCGGCAACTGGAAATCGAACACCGGCTCAGCTATGTTAGAGCAGCTTTCCGTGAGCGAGAGACACCGCACATGGGTAGACCACGTGGCGCAATTATTCGGAGGACTGGATATCTGTGCGATCGAATTGCTGGTGGGCAAGGATGGCCGAGAGCATATAATCGAGGTCAACGACAGCGCGCTCTCCTTGATGGGAGACTCGCAGGAAGAGGATCGACGTCACATCGCAGACCTGGTCACCGCGAAGATGCAGGTCCGTTGCTCGCGCTCGCGCTCGCAACCACGATCGACCCCTCATTACGCGCAAATGACAATTTACGATCTGCAGGTTTACTGTCGACCTGCGAGCGTGTTGACGAAGACCGCTTCGCGGGGCTCGATGTCAGGCTCCAGCCAGGCGACCAGTCCGGTGGAAGATCGAACTGCGCCTCCAACAGTACCCCCCCTCGGATCGCACGGAAGTATAGGCTCCATGGCGAGTATAGGAAGTCTGGGTTCCGTGGGTTCTGCCGCCACCGCGATACCAGGAGACGTCACCACTTCGGACAGTCATCATCAGTTACAGCGTCGCGACTCCCAAGGTTTGTACCCGTTCGCTCGCGATTACTCTCCGTAGATAACGCGATGGTAACGCATGGTTGCGCAAGCGTTCATTGCGCTTGTCCTTTCGGGAGATGAGACGAATGACAGTAGACAGTAGAACTTGATCCGCTTGATATTTTTAATGCAAGATTGAGTCTGAGATATTGAATTAATTAGCTTCGTCCTACGCTTCTAACGAGGAATGTCGTACATAGAGCTATAAAACAAGACTGTAAAATTAGAGCATATTTGTTTTGTTGGATTCCTGTGTTCTTCGAGTATCAGTGTGCTTGTTCCTCGTCAATTGTCGTTTCACACGTCTCAAGGAAGATTCCTCTCGCGTTCAAGATGCCTCTCGAATTCCCACAGCTTCACAATCGAGCACGGTGAGCTCGGTGAGCGCGCCTTCCGTCGGTCGGCGCTCTGAGGAACCGCCGACGTCCAGAGTGCCGTTCCACCGACAAGGCAGTCAGTCGCAAACTCAAGGCGAAGATTCCGAAGACACGATGAAGAACCTGCGAAAGACGTTCGCCGGTATCTTTGGCGACATGTAGACCACGGGACAAGGCCGACTGGGCGAGGGCGAGCACGGCGGACGCTCTCGCAGCGAAGTGACCAACGAAAACAAGTCGGCAAGAATAACACGAACTCACGAAATTCTTCGAAGATCGCTAAGCATGTTCCACGACTGAAAAGCTCGAGCTAACTCTCACTCGATGCGCCGATCGCGCGTCGGTAGGTTGACGCGGAGCATGTAGATATCTATATATTTGCAGATTAAAAAAACTCGCGAGACTGCACGCTGCGCGATATGTCAAATTATTTACAGTTCATATATATATACAATAATTAGAACCTTATTGGTTAATTCATTCGTTAAATCAATTCACTTTTGAACAATTGTTCAAAGCTAATCTGAGAGCTTCTCAGATTATAATCCGGAAGCGAATGAACCCTATAAATTTGACCGAGACTCGTGGATTGTCCGTAAGCCGGAAAGCTCTCGTTCGCTGTTCGATATTAGACGTCGATCGGGCTAGGAACGGGGAACAATTACGCCGTGCATCTTGCGGGGAGGAATTCGAAAACGAAGAATCTCGTGTTTAACGAGCTAACGCGCGATAGCGAAGTGTAGCGAGATAGGTCGTCTATATATTGGGGGAATCCTGATCGTGTGTATGTGTGTGTGTATACATTGGAGAGTAAGGTAGGTTCTATATAATCCGTATATATTGGCGAATAAAACAACAGTTGTTAGGCAGGCTCAGTCGGAAAAGGCGAAGTTACTTAATATCAGCTTGATGTCCGTTGAAGAATCGCTAAGCGCGATGATATATCCACTGAATTACTTGCGTACAGAAGCAGTGAAATACCGTCAGCGCGCATCTTCACCGTAAAAGCGTACAGTCGCATCCGTAGGCCCCTGGCATCTCCTCAACCGGTTTTACTTGGAGTACCCACTTTTAGGCTTAACGTTTTGGATCGTCGTGTGTCATATCGTCATTTAAGGGAAAATGCATTGCGAGATGGAAATTAAGGCAGGCAAATGGGCGTCTTTTGGCGATCTCGCAATGTTTGTAAAAATACTCATACGCCTACGTCATTCGAGCTGATCGAAGACGACGAAAAAAAGAGGAGATTCGGGCATTATTCTTGAACATTTGGCTAACCGACACTGCAAGCGGTCGTTTGGTTTTCATCGAGGACTACAGGTCGGAAGTACGAGTGTGTAGTTGTCTCTACTTTTAAGCGCACAAGTAGTATTTAAGGTAATAACACGGGGATGGGCGAGGTTTCAAATCGCGTCGCGATTAGGACATTCGCGCCTGCGAACTGTCGGTGCATCGTCGATGAGGAGACCGCGCGATTAATCATCCCGAATCCGATTAATTAATTCGCGATAATACAAATCTCTCTCTCTTTCTTTCTTTCTTTCTCTCTCTCGCGAGGACATTTCGCGCGTGGGTGTCCACGTGTGTCGATAGGAAATACGTCGCGCATCCCACGTGAATGGATAGAAAATTGGGCGAAAACTCGAGTAGTATCGTAGGAAATTAAGGAGCCACGCGAATTCGCGCTAGCGACGGGTCTTGGCGCGAGGAACAGAAGGAACATTGATCGATTGAGGACAATTCGCGAACGAGAATGCGCGTCGATACTCCGCCGTGCGAACGTGCAACGCGGAACACAGAATGATCCCGATCCATAGATCTGCAAATATATACATATACGCATATGTGCGAATTGAATGAATGTACCACCGGCGAAATGTACCAGCTGAGTGTAGCGCGAGAGCTACGTGAAGCGCAGCATGGAGGCAGACAATTTTCACGGAACGCGATTCGGGCTTAATTTAATGATAATGATAAGACTAACGCGAAAATGCGTCAGAACATCATCGTCCGTGGTCTCAGCTCTGAAAGAAGGAAACCATACGGAAAGAATTGACGTTGCAACGCCTCCCGATAAGTCTTATTTGAATTCTACGAACAGGATCCACACTCCGCTGACGCGAGCAATCGCTAAATGTGATAGGAGATGTGTTTAATATAATTCAGGAAAACACATCAATTGATACGTCATTGTCAGTTCAGCGAAGTACTAAAGCGGCGAATGTAAACCTAAGCAACCGACAAAGAGGAGAATAAAGTGCAAATTCGTTTGAAAGTATAATCTCTTGTTTAGAATTCTCGATGTGAATGACAAGTTTTGCATTATGCGGCTTCGTCGTGTCTCTCTTTTACAGTCCTCGAACTGTATAAGTAAATAAGTAATTGACAGTTTGATTTTCACGTGCCTTGACGCTGAAGTGTCCTTCGCATTCACGTCGATCGCGGTATCATAGGACGAGGTCGGGAAGAAAGGAACACAGCGAAGAGAAATAATTTTTCGCGAAGTTTCTCTATTCACGATATCGCTGATGAATTTCTGCGACGATTGGGACGAGGTGAGCGTGTATACACTTCGACCAGGCGTCGTGGACATACCGCGTGTGCGACCTATTATTTGTACTTTTTTATAAACCTTGATATCTCTCTCATTGCATCTGTATATTCGCCGACACGTTGTTTCTTCATTGAAATCTCTCATCGCGGCACGGAGATACGTGCGCACCGTCCAAAAGCTTACATCTATTATTGTAACATCCACGTGACCGAAGAGAATACTTTGCACGAATAGATGCTTGTGTGTGTGTGTATGTGTGTATATATATATATATATATATATATATATATATATAAACATATATATATATACACATTATAATTTCCGCGGCGATCACCGCGATCCTGAAGATTCTCGATTTTTGCAATACACTGACAGTAGACTGTCTTCCATGCGTTGCGAACGGGAGATATTCCCAGCGCCAGCATTCGCGTGAGTGAAACGAACGTCTTTAGGTTAATAACATGGGGATGAGCGAGGTTTTTAATCGCGTCGCGATTAGGACATTTGCGCCTGCTAACTGTCGGCGCATTGTCGATGAGGAGATCGCGTGATTAATCGTCCCGAATCCGATTACTTGATTCGCGGTAAGACAAATTTCTCTCTCTTTTTTTCTTTATCTCTCTCGCGAGGACGTCTCATGCGTGGATGTTCACGTGTGTTGATAAGAAATACGTCGCGCATCCCACGTGAATGGGTGGAAAATTGGGTGAAAACTCGAGTAGCATCGTAGGAAGTTAAGGAGCCTAGCTCCTTATTCGCGTTAGCGAAATCTTGGCGCGAGGAACGGGAGGAGCATCGATCCATTAAAGACAATTCGGGAACGAGAACGCGCGTTTGATACTCCGCCGTGACAACGTGGAACACAGAATGATTCCGATCCATAGATCTGCAAACATATACACATATGTGCGAATTGACTGAATGTATCATCGGCAAACGTACCTCACACCTCACACTTTTTCTCACTCCTAAGAGGAATTGGTATTTTCAGTTCGAGTGTGTTCGAGTTAGTGAGTGTGTTTCACGGTAATTACGATCGAAACGCGAACACAAAGACCGTGTTCGACGGTTGGCGCACAGGAAAACAAATCTCCGATTCCGTTTTCAGAGCTGACGCTACGGTACGCAGGAGAGCAATCAAACAAACATAATCACGTTACTGCGCGGAGGTCAATCGATCAGCACTAGATGCATAGACGCGGTTACAGGTGAAGAATATCTCAGGGGTGCGAGTCTAAAGCACTAGATAACATAGAAAATCTAGAAAGCGACAGTTGGGCCACGTGTCGCAGCCTAGTCAACTCATCGACTTGAATCGATAGAACGGATAGAGTTAGGATTCGCTTGCCCGAGGAGATCCTGGTGATTGTGATCCTCGGACTGATCCGTAGGAAAGCGAGCGTTGCGTGCACGCGCGCGTTTGCTCGGTCGCTTCCACGACTTAATTTTCATGCACATAATCGATCAATCTAATTTGACCTTCTCTCTTCCATCACCTTCATCCTTTCGTTATTCTTGGAAATAATTGCGAGTATAAATGTTTAAACATTTTTCTTACGACTTGCTAACTGTTACATCAGGCATTAATTATTATCGAGTCTATAAGAGAAGGACCACGCTTCTCTATATTTTAATTCGCAGTAATTTACTGCGCGACCGATTTTCTTGTTGCTTTATTACTCGCACAACATAACTTAGATATCACTTAACGTCTCGCTTTAATGTCGCGAAATGAAGTCGTCAGGTTTCATTCGCAACTGTCGTGAAGCGATCAAGCGATTGCGCGCGGACATGAACTGAACAGAAACAGCGTCGGGCATTTTGTTGCTTGGATCATAACTTATCGAAGCGTGATCCAGTGACATATTTAGTTACGGTGGCCGTGTGATGTCGTGAGCAGTAACCAGTATTTTTCATTTTGTTTCAAAGGTACCGATTGCACCATTGCTCGAGTAATAATGCACCAGCAATATCCGTAGATTAGCACGGTAACCATATCGCGTCTTCAATTTCCTAGAATACTTCGTGTTGCTGTGTACACATGACTGTATACATGACTGTACATTAAAGTAATTCATTACCGTTTTTCCTTGCCGTACGCGTGTCAAGTCGGTCTCAGCGATATCGCATCATGTATAATATGCGCGCACGGCACTCCACACTGAGAAAAATTTACTAAATTAAAAAAAATGTTTGTTTGGATACGACTGTGAACATATTTGTTTAAATTAAATAATTATTTTCTAAAATTAAAAAAAGAAATTTAAAACTTCTTTATTTAATTTTAGAAAATAATGCTTAATTTAAACAAATATGTTTACAGTCGTACCTAAACAAACGTTTTCTGAAATTTAGTAAATTTTTTGCTCAGTGCACGTTAATTAGCATTAACGATCGTGTTAATAATAATTCACCGTGATGTTAGTTTTATTGATTCCCAGGCCGTTCCCTATATCGGTCCTTAGTGTTCGTTCTTCTCATTGTTATCGCAAAAAAACACGGGTATCTCGGAAGTATCGCTATCGCATCGTAAGCTCTTAGACAGGATGAAGTAATTTCTCTTCGCTCAACCCGCGAAGAAAGAAAAAGAAGAAAAAAGGAGAATTTTTACAGAGAATTCTGTTTGAGATGACGTTCGAAGGTCGTCCGAAGACTTATCGATGCGCAATTCCTAGCTGTAAATTAATGATCTCCATGATATCGATCGTAGCACATGTACCGAGATGCAGTTTACGAACGACTGGCAGCGTTGAGTCGCGTTCCCTCCCGACATAATGCTGACGCGAGGGAACGCGAGCTTACCGACAAACCGTAAGTCTCTCCGCGACCTCGGAGAGGTCCTCCGAGTATCGCGAGAGGATCGTGCAATAAGTTATGATTCGCGCGTGTTTTATGCCTCTAGATTATATATAGCGCTCTTATATATATGTATACATTATATATATATATATATATATATATATATATATATATATATATATATATAGTTTACGTACACACACACATATATATATATATATATACACATATACCCTTCACTGTGCTTTTTGAGCATACGTCACTGTACATCGAGGTGAAATCTCTTACGTACATATCATCTTGGCGGTACGACCGCTGAGCTACAGTGCCTCTTTTCCTTTCCTTTCGTTTGCTTCGTTTCGCAGCAGTGGCGAGAGGAGCGTTCAAGGGATCCTCTAGTATTTTGTCCCTTCTTCCTTCTACTGAATATGAAATGTATAGAATAGATAAATATATATATACACACATGTCATTATATACATGTCATTGTAGATTGCGACATGCACAGTGTCTTAAGACTAGAGAACATTGCCGCGGATTATAGATGACAGGCAAATCGTCTAATTGCTATTCATGTGATATTGATTAATCACAGAGAATTAGTCGTGAGATCGCTTAGCTAACGCTCCTGAGAACGGTTCACGATAGCTAAGGGCATGCTATCGGCTCGCATAAGCCTCCGCGTCGCTGCTGCGGAATTAACGATAAACGATCGTACTGTTTGGACTGTGCTGAAAACGCAGCAAAGCTTGAGAAAGAGGACGAGCAGACGTCGCTTGCGTTGCTGTTTTGCATTCTGTTCGAAGCTGTGTTTCCTTTCACAAACGCGCCCGGTCAAACGTTAACAGCGTTTCTCGATTGAACGAAACACCAAACACCTTTTTAACTTAAGCGTGATCTACAACGAAAGTGCGCGAGAAGAGAAGATAAAAGGGGAGGAGAGCGCTTCTCCGGCGGTTTGCTTTAGTTTCGCGTTCGACAGCTGTGGCAGGCCAATAGGATAGAGTACGCATCATCGATTTAGCCCCGATTACACGACGCGGCTCGCCTCTCGATAATACTCAGTATGTGTCTCTGTGTAACGAACTTAATGTTAAAACTCGAACGGTAACTCGAGTCATGTAAGTAAAAGTAAGGATCAAAAGTAAGGATAATAGTAGTAGGCGTGTGGGCGCGACGAGTACTTATACGTCGCGACTCAGTACCGTGCGTTACCTCCTTGATTTCAATGCGTGCTAGCCACATGTATGATCCCATGATACACCATGATATCCCCACAACACACGCACACATACGGGCACACATACACGCTTACCCACACACGGGTGAGCACATACAATGCGCTGCACACTCTCATTACATGCACTACGATTAAACAAATACAAACGATTAAACCGTGTATCATAACGTTAAATAAGGAATATTACTGTACGGTATAGTGTTGATGTTATTTAAGCCGTCGTCATTAACGTCAGCCTATAGTGCCGAGAAATGGAGAACAGTGAGGATAATTAGCGCGTTAAGATTTCAAGAGGACACAGGTCTAAATCTCATTCATATAGATTCGTTAGGAATTCTAAGAGTTAAGGCAAACGGCAGGAGTACGTCGGGTTACGCGAGAGTGACTCGACTATATAATCGGCTATATAAGTATCTTTTATATAAGGATCTCGAATATGTAAAAGTGACAGTTGTATGTTTTCCTTATAGTGTATGCAAGTATCGGATATACAAGTATTGATTATACGTGTCGAGATTACACACAGATATCGGATATATATATATATATATATATATATATATATATATATATATATATATATATATATATAAGTATCGGTTATACGTGTCGATTATATGCAAGTATCGATTATATACAGCACGTATGTAACTGGAACGGATTAGTAGATTAGAGGACGAACGTCGGGGCGGGTGGGCGGCCGTGATTGTCGCGTTTCCTCGAGCGGAATGATCCGTCTCTTACCGAACACGAGCGCGTTCGTTGATCGTGTTCTCATAGAAGGAGAGAAAGAGAGGAGTGGAGAGAAAGAGAGAAAATCGAGACGCGACGCTTTGATGCCCACGAGCGGACCACCCACGCGGGAGAAAGGGTTGAATCGAGGTCTCGCGATCGACTCGTCGACCGCCACGTGCTCGGAAACCACCGCGACTCCCGTCTCGGCTGACATTCACGCGGCGGTCGACGTTTCGGCGAGCCTCGTATCGAGGTTGAATACCAGCGCTGATGACTCCTGACAATACACCGTGTGTTGGAGATTGCGTGCGATTCAACCGTCGCGAAAGAAGAAAAGCAGAAAAAGAATTACGCCAGAGTCGTAATGGACGATGACGACACAGGGAGACGATTCGTTGTGGTTCTCGTGTGGTGGGATGGAAAATAAAAGGATTGCAAGGTGGATCAGTTCAGAGATGGCCCGGATATAAATGACGGCCTCTTTGAAAACTCTGCTCTGATTGCGAAAATTCGATACACTCGACGATTTCCATCATTACGCTACGCTTCGCTGCATCTTGCATACTTCCCACCACGACATCGTCGCGGATCAGGCGTAATAATGCCGAAGATCGATCGCGTGGTCAAGCTGAAATTGAGAAGTGAACATCTTTACACAGTATTACAGATCATAGTCGGAAGATCGTAGGAAACTTGTCGTTATCCACAAAGATATACGCAAAGATGTACGAAAAAAATTTATGTACAATGAGAAGATATTATTTATGAGTATTACTTATATATACGATCCCTATGAGACGTGAAACGAAAAATAAAAGAGATTTTGAGGATGACTACGCGATCGGTCTTCTTCAAGAGCGAGATCGACTGAATGCGAATCAATAAAGAATCCCGTCGGAGAACACGCGAGAATAACACGATGACGCCCGCCCCCGCACATCTCTTTTTAACGATAAACTCTTAACGGTACTTAAGGTCGTAAGCGTACTTATAGTGGTCATTGAGAGGACAACGAATCAACAGAATGAGTCACAAGTGGTGGAAAGCGAACGAAAAAAAAAGAAAGCGAGCAGAGACGATAATGGCTGCGTTGCGACACTCATTGCCAATATGGAAATCTATGGTTCATGTCACATAGACTACAGATTCTCGATACTGACAGTGGGATATCGGAACACTCAGCCTATGTAGAGTAGTGCGTTGCACGCGCGTAAACATTAGCGCGCGCCCAGTTATCACTTAGTGCGAGTAAAGAGAGGATTAAGTCACACACATAAAATGCGAGTTCTATCTGTCATCGTTAATTACTAAGGACTATCAGAGGTCGGAGAGGAGACGTATATTGGTTACACGTACTGGATATATAAGTATTGGTTATACGTGTCGATTATATACGGATATATAAAGGTACCCGTCACATGTAACGATTATACAAACATCGGATATATAAAAGTACTGGTTATATGTATCGAAAAGTATGCAAGCTATATAAGCATCGGATATATAAGTATCGGTTACATGTATTGGTTATATAATATGAAACTATAAATTCATAGCCTTTAGCGGGTTACGCGGGGAAGTGTAGTACAATATTAACGAGAACGTGTATAAAAATATATGAGAAGAGATTAAAAAATAATATATATATAAAATATATATAAAATATATAAAGAAAAAATTATATATAAATACGTATATGAAACGAAAATACGCAAATATGTTAGTATTCCTATTATATACTGCGTTAATCGTGTTGGGTGCACGTCGGGATGCTCGTTGTGATCGAGCCGAGTCGAATAACAGACGACGGCCTAGGAAGTTTCGCTTCTAAACATCTCATAAGTGCGGTAGCTCGCGGAGGAACAGTAACGAGGATGTAATTTTCGTGGGTCTCGTTTGCGACGTCCCGACAAAGATACGATCGATTTTCAAGAGCCGCTTCCGTCTTCGGCGAGCAGAACAGCGAGAAGCGCGATCGGCAGCGAGCATCGCGACGTACGCTCATAGATTGTCATTATCGCAGCATCATCATGGTTGCAGGATATGGATGTAGATGGTAGATCACTTACGAGGCGAGATAATAAGGTCGAAGCATGCTGTTTTCTGCCTGAACTAAACGTGTGTAAACGGCACGTATGAACGACAGCCGAGACATCCGACAAATAACGAATCGCTCGTGGAGCAGTCGGATAAGATTGTGAGACTTTACTTTCGAATTTTGAGGCATTGGATTACTTTATGAGGCTCTTTTGTAGCTGTCGTGTTTGCGGTTTTTTCGTGAGAATTTTGTCCCAATTTTCATTCTGTCTCTTTCAAGATTATTAAAGAAAATTTTTTTCAAAATCGGCATTGTCGAATGTAAGTGTCGATTAGGATACTTCTCGATTCTATATCACGGACAGGCACCGTGAGACGATGAGTTTTCTTAATTTTTAATTGTCACGCGTAACGTCTTTTCGAAAACAACGAGTTAACGATATAAGTATGAACGCGCGAAGGCCGTCGCGCAATTTGTTTTGTTCTTCGCTTTGTATCTTTTCGTTTTCTATTCGGTCATGGTCAATCGATAAGCGATAACGTTTTTCTGAGTCACTTAATTAACGTTTAACTGCATTTCGACGTGGCTCGTGATCTAACTGAAACCACACCAAAATCAATAGAGCGGTATTCAATTCGGACGCGCCCGTCGCGTACGAGTTTACTAGCAAGTGGAAAAAAGAAAGGAAGGACAAAAAACAAATGTATCAACCATTACTCTCAGCCCTCTCATTACTGTTGCCATAATAGATTATAAAACATTTCCAATGTTTCCTAGTCATTATGGTTGTTACGATAAATCTCCTACACATAAATGTGTTAAAACCATAGAGATCGCGACTATGAATGTCCATTGTGTTATGTATACACATAAATATATATATACATATATTATATATAATATACGTTACGTTGCCACACACATTGGAGTTACCACTGCGACTGTATTACCGCATTAATGTGAAATATAAGCAATTGACGCAAGTGTCGAGGTGTATTATCCTGCGATGTGTTAATAAATATCGATGTGTAATCGTCACGGCACTGTGTACGCGCAATGACTCGTTTTTCTTTCTTCTTTTCATTTGACGATTAAACGACCGTAATACGTGTAGTATGTGCGAGTCGTATCGATAGAGGAGGAATAAGAAAAAATACCAAAATGCTATTAACCTTCAACAATAATAATAATAAGAAGAAGAAGAAGAAAAATAAGAAGAATAATCACGCCATTACAACATAATGGTAATGTGAAGACGTAAGCGACGAATGGTAGATAAGAGGAGGCGCCGTGTACTTTGAAGGCGCCCCGATGTAGAACCTGTTATTAAAATACATAATAATACATTATTATGTTTAATGCGATACGTAAACTGAACTATAATAATAAAAAAAAACACGTATAAGCATAAAATCACAAGCTCATTGTTGTTTCTCTCGACGACCTGCACCCTCCCGCTCTCGCTGCAACATCTTGTAACCAGGGTTGCGAGCAATTAATCACTTTCTTGATCAATTATCGTGTTTAATTTATGTTATGACCCAATTCAATTAGGGGTCGTTTAATTGACAATGGATCTCGACAAATTCGATTAATCTGATGACGATTTCGACAAATTCAATTAACAATTCAAAAAATTTAATTAATGATTGTTTAATTGATTGATATGAGCAAATTCAATCGATTCGATCGAAGAGAATTTAATTGCCCCAGGTTAGAATTGCTGATGAATGTGAAGCGCGAAGTAGAATCCACGTTGAAGGGCGCACTGGTCATATCAATCGTCGCTACACAATCTTCAGTTGAATTGATTAAATTTGCTCATTTCAAGCGTCAATTAAACGGCTTTTAATTACATTTGTCAAGTTTAGTTATTAATTGAACAGTTATTAATTCTTTAATTTCCTTTGCTCGTATCGATCGTCAATTGAACGATGTTTAATTGAATTTATTGAAATCAATTATCAATTAAATATTCTTCGATTGATTTTGCTCAAATCAATCGTCAATTAGTTGAATTGGAATATATTTATCCAAGTCAATTATTAAGTTGAGAGAAAGCTTTACTTGATATATTTTTACAATCTTGTTTTGACACTGTCATGACACACGAAATAGTTTGGGTAATTCGGGCATTTAATCAATCGCGAAGAAAAATAGGAAGAGCTCAACTTGCATTTTCCCATTTTTATTCAGAATGATCTGTGCTACAGATATAAACTAATAAAACTTCTATAGAGATCCAGAAGCGCACGCTTAACGACGACGTCATCCGATGTACTGGGATCGATCGCGTGTTGTATCAATTCGTTATCATCCCGAAGCGTGTTACAATGTGCGACGTGGAGATTAGAACAATGACTTGTCAAGTTCCGTGTTGAGGGAACAATTTCTGGGCATTCCTGCGCGACCATATTCGGCACTGAAAGAAGTGCTTCGCGGATAAAAAGTCGTGGGCACTGTATGAATTGTCGGTGTGTACCAGCCGTAATCCATGGAGGTTTTCCAGTAGCAGGGGTGAGGAGAAGGACCGCTCTCCTGACCATAACCCTTAAACAATCCTGCGGAAAGCATAAACGATCAATGAGGGTAATTAATATATGCCAGAACGACACAGTGTCCTATGATATTCATCCACGTGGCTTTTACACGAAATGAGATCAAATCCTACTTTTGAAAACGCTCCCTTGCGAACGATGACAAAAAGTTACAATTGCGTTTGCATACATTTGGCTTTCCGCTAAATTGCCGCGAATTCCCCCAAAACTCGACGTTATTATTTTCGCTTTATGACATCTAATGTACGTAACATCAAAGCGAGTATGCTAATTTCTGTTAGGTACATATAACGCTCATGCGATTTTCTTTCCAAAGAGCTTCTCGTTAAAAAGTTTGTGGTAAATCTCTCAGAAAACATATCGAAAAGTTTACGGTAAATTTGTCATGAGTATCTGACGATTAGTCCATTTCATGCTCGTTATGTTAAATCGTCCCAAGTGCAACTGCCGTGGAGATATATCCGGCGGTAATTTTTTCTCTCCGCAAACATATCGTCACTAAGACTATTTCTCACACGTTGTGCATACGGAAACGCCTCGTTTATGAGCTCTAGCTCCTTTAGTTTCGATTACTCGTGTCTACGAATCGATTTCCGCACAGTTGTACGGCAACTGATACGCCACATTACTACACTGATATCGTCCGTGGAGCCTCGTAAAATCACTCGCCAACGAGCCGTCTATCTTAAATCCGGGAAGCACCGTCACGTTCCTCATCCTCGCGAACGCCGCCATATCTACGTGGCGGAGCTCGTTGTTGTTCAGGAACAGGAACAGCAGATTGTCCAGGCCGAGAAAGACGTCGGACTCGAGCGTGGTCAACTGATTGCCGTTGAGCCAAAGCGAGTTCAGGCACCTCATGTGCCGAAAGACACCGGCAGGTATCGTCCTCAATCGGTTCCTGCCCAGGTCGAGCTCGTTTATCTCGCTGAGACCGCGAAACATGTCCGGGTGCAGAGACGAGATCCTGTTGCGCGACAGATAGAGGAGGTCTATGTGTGGCAAGCCGTTAAACGCGCCGATCGGTATCTCCGCGATGTCGTTCGAGTCCAGGACCAATGTCTCCAGCTGCCTGAGCCCCTTGAACACGTTTCTCCTGAGCTCGAGCCGGTTGTTGGTGATGTAGAGCTCGCGCAGTTCCGCGAGGCCCTTCCACACGCCGGGCCGCAGGACCGAGATGTTGTTGTGATCCAACAGCAAGGTCTCCAGGTTGCTCAGTCTCACGAACGCACCCTCCTCGACGTCGGCGATCGTGTTGTTCCGCAGGTCCAAGTACGTGAGCTGATCGAGCCCGCCGAAGTAGTGCCGGCCGATGCACGACAACCGATTATCGCGGACATAGAGCGCGGACGAGTTGGTGACCTCGGCGAAGGCGTTCCTCACGATGTCAACGATCCCGAGGTTCTCCAGATGTAGCTCAATGTCCTCAATCGTCTGGACGGCGTTGACGTCCTCGAAGGCGACGCCGTGGAGCGCGTCGCCATTCGCCAAACAGACGTAAAGGTGGTTATAAACCTGACAGTCGGCGTCCTCCGCGCTAACGTCTGCGACGTCGGCCGATAAGAGGAGATAAATGAGGAGCAGGAAGCACATAGTGCGGCTCACGGAGGCTGGATGTGCACTGACCTCGAGCGCGACGGGGGTTTCTTCAGCGAGCACTCGCGCCATGGCTGGCCGTTTACGAGATATCATTATGCGAATATATCAGCGGTGCGAATATATCAGTCGTTGTGCGAGACGTAACTCCTCTCTCTGCGTCTTATCTTGGACTTAATAATTAATTTATAAGCTATCGCGCGTGCACGACGGCGAGTACACTTATCTCCCAATAATTCCGTTTTGTAACGTATCAGTTGACTATGCGGAAATTATTTGCAATTAAATAACCTCCAACTACGGCGATAACCGGAGCGGAATTCAATTAAATAGAATTAAAAAAGATTAGCGTTCATTACGCGCAAATAAGTGTTATCGATGCATGCAATGCAAAATTCTCTTAATCCTCTTAGCGTTCTCTGCTTAATTATAGACGCTAACATGATATTGAAACAATAATATGAGGCGATTACATAGAAGAGAAAAAAAATTAAAAAATAGATCTCGTACAGCGAGCGCTCTTAGAATTTTCGTCATGCCGATATGTATTTAATAATACTCGCGCAGAAATCGCACGTCTTCTGCATTCCCCACAACAAACAACCGATATTGTGGCCGCATACCGGAAAACTACGATGAATTATCGTTGACGAATAACAAAACCGTATCGCACTTTACAGCGCGCGACGATAAAAGATTCAGGCGCCGTTCGGCCCATACATGTTAACATTGTGCACGCTCTCGCGACGAGTTACTTGCAAGGGATGCATTGGGAACCGCGTAAAAACTCCCACGAGACAGATAAGATTCGACGGGTGCAGTGATCGACTGTACCAGCGTATTAATAGCCGCGAACGTTATCGCGCCGGCTACTCGCGACTTCTGGACTAGCATCTAAAGCGAAACGACGTATTCTTGTGCGGGAGAGAAGCCCTCGTACCTGCAATAACTAATGCGCTCGCTGGCGCGTTGAAGGGATTATTCTCCGTGCCGTTTCTATTTATGTACTGATGATGATAATACGTGTATACATTTACGTTTTCGCATTAATATCAAGTAACATATTTAGAAATAATCTTGTTCGTAACATTTATGCAACTTTTTTATCATTTTATTTTTTTACATTTGTCACAGTGACGTGGAAAGCTTAAAAAAATACACGGACATGACGCGTCTAAACAAAGAGCGTGGGAAAAAGGTTAGATTTTCATGCGACACAGTGCAGTTTGAAAAAAAGAAGAAAAAAAGAAGAGGAAAAAATGCTCTACAAGCAGCAGCTCGTTGTATTATGTAGTTGTCTGCGTAATATTGAGTTCAAAAGCGGTAACGTGTACGTTGTTTCGAATCGCGCCCAGCAACGCGAGAGAAAAACAAGATCCACTCGTTTCCATGCGCATACAGTCGCGCGTTTTCCAATTATCCCGTACAGCGCGCTTTGCCAAGACTTAATGCGAAGTAAAATCATGTCGGAAATGTTAATGCAGCGTTACTCTTTGCAAGGGAGACTTACTCGGGTACATGAATCTAGACGGAAGATTGTGGGTGCGATAAACGTCGTCGGTGCGTGGACCGAGCGCGGATAGTTTCTCGTCACGACAATCCCGTAGTTTTCCGTCATTGCAGCAGCATGGTGCGTCGTCGATCATCCTCATCGCTGTCACTTGGACCCGGCGCTATATGATATTTTAAATTTTGCCAACTAATCCTCAATAATTACTAGCCTACCGAAAATATACGTTTAAACACACTCGCACAGAAGTCAGCCATGGCTACAGTTCGGTTGCTGTAGAAACGATAGGAGCTCTTGTGCGTGATCGATTAAACAAAAATACAAGCGTAGCCCACACTGTCTCGCGCGCAGGTTAATGTAAAATAAATAAATGACAGCTTTTTAGACGCGACAACATTTTATATTTTCGAAAAAAATCGTTGAAACGAAAATACGAGCGTAGCTCGTGTTATTGCAGCTTGATATGAAATAAATAATTTACGTGCAATTTGTTAAACAGTACAATTTTATACACGGAGAGAATATTATAATTTCTTTTTTCTTTCATATAAATTCTTTTCAATTTTACTGTACTTTTAGTCTAGCAATAGACTGTCAGTATAGTCTAAGGAGCATAATAAATTTCGCTAAAAACAGTATAGTCTAAGGAACAGTAAATTCCGCTAAAAACAGCAGATTTTGTTAGAATCGTAACAAATATTTTAATTACATTAATTACTTAATATTTCAATTATAGTCACATAATTTAATTTATGAAATCCTATATAATAATTTTTACTATAAAATTCTTTCGCCGTGTATCTATGACAAAAATGACGATAGAAAGCAGTATATTTAATCGTTGATATAACGACTTGGTTTTTGGATGCATTATAGAGCGAAGTTCTCTTCTTGCATGTCGCAGCGAACGTTTTCTCATTCGCGGCAAAGTCTCAAGTATGGAAATTGAAATTTATGCATGTACTGCTGTTGAGATACGGGCCCCCCTCTAACAGTTTTCAGATTAGGGTCAATAGACTTACCGGGCGAGTGACTATAACACGACCTGGTCACTATTTTGCATTCGAGCAGAGTTTATACTACATACTGCGCCAGTGGTATTATCGCGCGCAGCGATAATAGAAACGTTCTTCCCGACCACCTGGAGGACAGCCACGGTGAAATGCGGCGAACTGTCGTTGAGCCAAGACCGGGTGATAGCGTGTGAATAATTTATTCTCTCCTTTAGGACATATCCTTTGTTTATCAGTTGGAAAGTCGACGGAAACACGTACTATACCTTGCGTTTATTCACTAAAAATATTTGTTATATTCGTTAAGATTCATAATCGAGCTCAGGTGTCCACCTAAAATTAATTTCAATGCTAATTAACGTAGCACATCGAAGTCTTCATTATGCACAAAGCGAGGATTAAGTACGATAGAAAATTCTATCGTTCGTCAAAGCAAAGAGTACATGGCTTGAGTAATCTAATAACGACCGTGTTAGAAATTTTACTTCCACTTTTATTTTAAATCAAGAGATACGAGTAAAAGTTATATTTTTTAAGCAAATATTTTTCATACGTTTCCTAATGTGTGTTCAGTTGCTAAGACGCAACTATATTTTCTGCACGCAAGTAAACATGCAAACAATATCTAGTGCTCCGTTTTTTTTCAGTTCCACCACCATTAACTAAGTCGGACGACGACACGCGTGTAAGAATAGACTTAATGAAACGATTATCATGCCCGGCACTTCCAGTTGCGGTCTGGCTACCAGAAGAGAATTACCACGCGATAAGACATACGTCGTACAGGCTAAAAATTGGAAGTAGTCAAAAACGTTCGCGTTTATACGAACAGAATGCGAGTCGCAGTTGCAATACAATGTATATTTGTCTCTGTGCCGCTTTAAAATAGAAATATACGTGCAAAATAAAAATAAAGATATTTCCAGCTACGAACTGTGTCGTTAAAGGTAGAGTTTATATACGCTCAAGTGCGAAATATTTCGTGTTTCATGAAGTGTACGGTGTCTCGTTTTTAGACATCACGAAGTAAACGAACAAATTGTGTCAACAACGAATGAATTGTACCGGAGTAAGTAATGTTACAATTAATTGTTACAGTGTGCCATTATAGCTTAATGTTACAACGTTAGCAACTGTAAATAGAATAAAAAATAATTTCGTTTTTTATTATCTTATCGCGTATGTTAATAATACGCGTATAACGTATTATGACTTGTGAACAGTTTGTGAGTGATTCAACGAGCGATTGCATATAATTTTTGAAGTGCACTTGCATATATTATTTGATTATTTATAAATTAATTTTTTCGAGAAAAATATATTAGTTTACGATAACGGAAAGTACATGCAGAAACAACGATAAACATTATATAATTGTGACTCGTGGCGCTGTGAAGGCGGTTATCATTTATCAACGCTCTCGTATCCTGCACTTAGTCCAAGGTTAAGTGCTGCCACGGTGTATTCAGTTGCAGCTGTATATGTAATAGCGCGCACAATATAACGCAACACTCTAATTACTCTTCCTATCGCTATGTTCAGGAAATTACACATGTCGAGTGTATAACATTCCAAACTTCACACGGATTATCGGGCGGCGCAAATGTATTCCACAATAACTGTCACGCGCGAGGACGAGAAGATCGAGCAGTAATAACGCTCTTGTTCATCCCGAGTTACAAATCATGAGGGTCATTGGATCGGTCTGAAAAGTCGCGGTGTAACGTGCGAAACCTAGTAAACGGGGCGTCGAGGAGCACGGGGGTTCTCGGGCAATAGAAAATTGCACACGATCCAAACGAGATAACCTGCTATTGCAAATGCAAATAAATACGAGATCATATCGCCGATCAATGGCCGAACGTGCCGCTGCAAACTGCCGCGCCGTTATGCGAGTCGAAGTTGCGGGCAATACGACGACGACGACAAAGGCAGCCGTAACCGGAGATTGATCGAGTGCACTTTACGCTGCGCTTTTGCTATCGCACTCTCCTTGTGCGCGCGGCAAAGTTTGCCGCCGGTGCGGGAAGCGGCGCGATGCGGGAAACTTGAGATTCGATCGTTCTGACGGTGATCACGGTGGTGTCACGGGGAATCAAGAGAGGGAAAGAGAGAGGATCGCGGGGACGACCAGGATGATGAGCTGCAACGTAATGCCGTTGAAGAAATACGCGGAAATCAGTTACCGCGTGAAATGCGTGTCGGTGGAGAACGAGCGCGTGTTCGGCGACGTCTACGTCACCCAGCAGACGCGGGATCTCGTATGCGAGGTGAATCCCGAGACGCAGAGCCCGTCAGTGATGTACAGGAAGCGGCGGCGCAACCTGATTCACCAGACACTGGAAGGCCCGGACTTCATGCTGCTGAACAGCAAACGACCGAGCGCAAGCGCTGGCGCGGCCGCGAGCTCGCGCTTTCAAAGGCGCTGCAAATCGACCGGGGATGCGCCGAACATGATCACGTTTAATTATGAGAATATCGGCAAGCACGACGCGACTGTCAGGAGGCCTAAGGTAAACGTTCGTGCTGCGCGAACGAGCGCGAGATTAATTGATCCCCAGACATTGGAGTTCGCTAACTGCTGATATGAGAGGCCTCGCGCTCCGATCTCTATTTGCTTCGATTGGAACGCGACTCGGGAATTAGCATGCGAAGTCGCGAGAGTTGCAATGCATATTAGTTTTTGGATCGTTACACTTCCTCCGAAGGATTCCGAATTGATTCATTAATCAAACACGTGTCTGGGGTGCACCATGGTTAAAAGTAGTCACAATAAAATCATTCGCTGTCTCTCTGTGCCTCGCAACCTAAGCCTTAAACATTAGCCAGATGCTGGGTATAATAGAGAAGGGAGATTCGAGTAATACTTACAACGGTGTTCAGTGCAGTAATCCTACGAGGAAGTACGCTTGGAGTAGTCATTGTTGAGGTAACGACGTCAGACGGAATCGGCAAGATAATGCGACGTCTTTACAACTTTTCACCTTAGTTGGCAGGAGTCCACGTCTTCATTAGTATTACCCAGTGTCAATTTCCCCTTCGCGTTTCCGGCATAAAAACACGAATGTATCAGGCGATCGTGTTTCAGGTGTATCCGCCGCCACTCTTGCGCTACTCGCTACCGCAGAAAGAAATCGTGATTACCTCGCTGGTGGATCAGCTACTGCTGGACATTTACGGCATTCCGATGGGCGACAAGGGACGCTCGGAGAGTGATTCAACGACTTCGTCCTTGAAACCACGCCCGCAACATCAATATCTGCAGAAAGCTCGTCTGCTATTGAAAAGTAAGATAATTCAATACGCCCTCGGATAAATAGGCGGCGCGCGGCGTCGCGGAAAAACGGGCTGAACGCGTGGAAGCTCACATCCATCTTGGTGATTGAAACTCCCGGGCAATAAGAAACGATCTGCGTTATGGCCGGCGGCACCTGAGCGCCTGCGAATAAATGTCTCGTTCGCGATCTCGAGAATGAGCGAAAAATAAAACGCACGGTCGTTTTGTTCCTTTACGCGAGATAAACGCGCGCCGCGTAAACTGAGCGGTAATATAAACGATGCAATCAATCCATTAATTTACGACAACTAAAGTACATATCAGAGGCTCTGAAGATATATATTAAATTAAGAGAGAGACATGATAATGAAAGATAATATCCACAATTAAGTTGAGGTAAAAGAGAGGTTAATAGAATAATAAATAGGATTCAGCGTCGATTTGGAACTCGTGGATTCACTATTTATGCTGAAAGTTCGATAAAATATTCAATATGTGCATCTAACACTGTCAAACGTCATTGTCCTCCCACTCAATCTGATTCGCGCACGGCTCTTATCTTAAGCCTTATCTTTCCCTTGATTTGGTAAATTGAAGAGATAAAATTACGTTCTACGAGAAGAAGCGTTGCAATAATAACCAAGAAGGTACTTAACGTCGGTGAGTGCGGAGCACTTAGGGAGACTGATAAGTTGGTTTGCGCACATTTTCCCTTCCGCTCTTTTCGTAATAACGTTATTATTATTCCCCGGATTATCGACGGTCTTGCAAATATCCTCCCAAGATCTTTCTCGATATCGCGCAGCCTTTGACTTCATGAATAATGCAATTATTCGCTCGCAGCCGGTTGCAGCGATTGTAAAGGCCGCTCACGACGTATTCGCAATATGCGCGCTTTTGTGCTTTTTCGCGCTTTTCGAATTAACCGCGAGCTAACGAGATGAGACAATGACGAGGAAAACTGCGGCTTTGCGTCTATATCCTTTGTGCGAGACAAAGGCGAGCGTAATATAGAAGTGTTATGAAATTCTCTCCTAGCTGTGTGTTGCGTACTTTAAATCTCTGACGTCGGTCTCTGGATATTAAATTTTACTTATTGAGGAACGCGCGACCAAGAGTAATCTTTTATTTAACGAAACATGCGACCACACTATGCACTAAGGTTAATTTTTCACGCAGGTGAGGACGAGTTGCAGATCCTGCTCGTGACACTGCGCGAGCACATCGTTCACACAGGCGGACTGCTTATTCGCCAGCTGCGTCGAAAGGATTATCTCGCTGCCAAACGTGATAAACAG